CTCAGACCGATTTCCCTTAACCTTTCTTCGTAGGACATTCCCCTAATCTCTGGAACTAGCCTTGATGCAAACCTTTGCACTTTCTCTAATTTCTTGATGTGTTTGGCCAGGTGTGGGTTCCAAACCGGTGCTGCATACTCCAGTATGAGCCTGACGTACACGGTGTATAGAGTCTTGAACGATTCCTTACTGAGGTATCAGAACGCAATTCTCATGTTTGCTAGGCGCCCATATGCTGCAGCAGTTATCTGGTTGATGTGTACTTCCGGAGATGTGCTCGTTGTTATACTCACCCCAAGAGCTTTCTCCTGGAGTGAGGTTTGCAGGCTTTGGCCACCTAGCCCATACTCTATCTGCGGTCTTCTTTGCCATTCCCCGATCTTCATGACTTTGCATTTGGCAGGGTTAAAATCGAGGAGCCAGTTGCTGGACCAAGTGTCCAGCCTGTCCAGGTCTCTTTGTAGTCCTGCTTGATCCTCATCTGATTGAATTCTCGTCATTAACTTCATATTATCTGCAAACAGGGACACTTCTGAGTCTATTCCTTCCGTCATGTCATTCGCATGTGTGTGTGTGTGTGTGTGTGTGTGTGTGTGTGTGTGTGTTATGTGTGTGTTTGTGTGTCGTGCCGAATAGGTAATACTTGCGATTTGTCTTAAACAGCAGTGTTCTTCTTGCCGAATAAGGCAAGCGAAAATTTCTGTATGCAGTAATTTCGCAAAAATCATTCCGGACCTAACGATAAAACATATATTTCAATGTGCTTATTTTTAAATTATTGCAGACTTATCTAAAATATATTTAGTTGGAAGAGGCTAAATTAAATTGCGCTTGTTATGTGATGGGGTTTGTGAGGAGATATTGGGGTAAGAAATACACACATTGGATGTTTGGAGGCGTATAATTAAGAGAGTCTCGAGGAGAAGCCCAGAATCATTGCCGTCAAGTATACACCAGCCATGAACTGAGAAGGAACACAGTGGCCTACGGCTCTTACGAGCGGGACTCGTGACGTCACGCAAGAAGGGAGCGTATATATAATATACCTGGGTTTATCTAAGTATACGAGACAAGTACACAGTAACACTACCTACAGTTATAATAAGGTTAGGTAGGTTTTCTAAGGTTCTTTTGATACAAAATTATCAATTTTTACATTAACATAAATTAAAAATATATCTTTAAACATACAAGAGAAAATTTTAGAAAAGACTTTATTTTAAATTAATTCTTACTAATTGACCAATTTTACCTATTCGGCACGACATTATATATATAATATATATATATATTATATATATATATATATATATATATATATATATATATATATATATATATATATATATATATATATATATATATATATATATATATATATATATATATATATATATATCCACAGTGATAATTAGTGAAATTATTATTATTATTATTATTATTATTATTATTATTATTAGTATTAGTATTAGTATTATTAAACAATTTAAATCTTACATTATACGAGCAAAAACATTTGATGCATAGAACATAGTTTATATAAAAATTTGTATGAGGAATATAAATTATTACAGCCAAGAAACTTTTTATATACACTGGACAGTAAAAAAAAATTAGTCCAAAAATAATTACCGTCCAAAATTAGCCAAAAAAAATCAGTCTTTTCTAATTTCCTGATTTTTTTAATAACGTCGACGAAGGTGAAAAATAAATTCATTTTTCTTTTGATATTAATGAGAAATTATATTAATTTTTTAACTTTTTTAAATTATATTAATTTTTTTTTCCAGGTAAATTATATAAGGTAATTATTTTACCAGGTTATCTAATTATCATTTTGAAAAAGATGCTTTTCGAATTATTAACCCCAGAGGGTTTAAAAACCTGGGTTAAGAAGCCAGAATAACCCAGGAAATTATCTAGTGTGGCTTGTTTGTGTCCATGTGACCTCTGTTGTCTAGTAAACTACCAGGTACCTATTTACTGCTAGGTGAACAGGGGCAGCAGGTGTGAGGTGACTTAACCAAACGTTTCGCCTGAGGTGACAACATGGTATGTAGGAGCTAATTTCCCCCCTCACTCCCCATCCCTCGCTGTGTTAAAGCAGTGTTAAGACACTGTTGTGTTTACTTACTGCTGTGTTTACTCAGTGCTGTGTTTCAGGCTATTAACTAAGTGCTGTGCTACACTGAGTGCTGTGTTTCAGACTCTGTTAACTAAGTGCTGTGCTATACTGAGTACTGTGTTTCAGACTATTAACTAAGTGCTGTGCTACACTGAGTGCTGTGTTTCAGACTCTATTAACTAAGTGCTGTGCTATACTTAGTACTGTGTTTCAGACTCTATTAACTAAGTGCTGTGCTACACTGGGTGCTGTGTTTCAGACTCTATTAACTAAGTGCTGTGTTACACTGAATACTGTGTTTCAGACTATATTAACTAAGTACTGTGTTACAGTGAGTGCTGTGTTTCACACTATTAACTAAGTGCTGTGTTACAGACGTGCCTGAGGCAAGGATCACAGTGTGGGGTAAAGAAGTGAGTGTGAGTGAGACAGGTCACCTGGCCACAGTGGGTAGTGACCTCACCTTCCTGTGTTCGGTCACAGCTCACCCACCCGCCTACAACGTTACCTGGCTTCATAACGTGAGTACATGTGTGTGAGTAACTACCTGTTTGTAACTGCCTGTTTGTAACTACCTGTTCGTAACTACCTGTTTGTAAATACCTGTATGTAAATACTTGTTTGTAATTGCCTCTTTCTAACTACATGTTTGTAACTACCTGTTTGTAACTACTTATTTGTAACTACCTGTTTGTAACTACCTGTTTATAACTACTTGTTTGTAACTACCTTTTCGTAACTACCTGTTTGTAAATACTTGTTTGTAACTACTTGTCTGTAACTACCTGTTGGTAACTACTTATTTGTAACTACCTATTTGTAACTACTTGTTTGTAATTGCCTCTTTCTAACTACATGCTTGTAACTACATGCTTGTAACTGCCTGTTTGTAACTACCTGTTTGTAACTACCTGTTCGTAACTACCTGTTTGTAACTACCTGTTCGTAACTACCTGTTTGTAACTACCTGTTTGTAACTACTTATTTGTAACTACCTATTTGTAACTACTTGTTTCTAACTATCTGTTTGTAACTACCTCTTTGCATCTAACTGTCTGAGTTTCCGAGTAATGAGTTCCAGCTCTTGGTCCCGCCTCTTAAATCACGACCAAATAACGTTAAATTGCCTAATCATACACATTTTAATTCCCTGCACCTGCAAGCACTCCACTGCTCAGCTAATTTCTTATCACCTCTTAAACTGAAGAAATATTCCGTACAACCCTGTGTATATTCCATAGTGTAGTTACCAACTTTACGACCCACACAATTTCCTTATTGCTACATCATTAATAAATGTATCGTTGTCTACACTAGATACACTTCGCGGAATTTCCACGTTGTGAGTATATGATCATTCGTTCTTCAGTACTGCGAGATGTAACTCTTGTATTCTTTTCACTTCCTCATTCTCCTCAACTCAGGGACTAGTCTGGATGCTCTCCTTTATACTTTTATCAAGCTTCACTCTGTAGTTTACAAGTTGTGTGTTCCACACGGCGCTGCATACTAAAAACTGTGTCGCACCTGAATTTCTTCAGGTCATTCTTGTGTTTGTAAGTTTGACTTGTGTTGCTGGTGTTATTCTCTTGGTGTGTACCTCTGGAGACTTGTGGTAGTGGATATTACCAGGTGTGGGGACTTGTGGTAGTGGATATTACCAGGTGTGGGGACTTGTGGTAGTGGATATTACCAGGTGTGGGGACTTTTGGTAGTGGATATTACCAGGTATGCAGACGTGTGGCACTGGATATTACTAGGTGTGGAGACTTGTGGTACTGGATATTACAAGGTGTGGAGACTTGTGGTACTGGATATTACCAGGTGGGGGGACTTGTGGTAGTGGATATTACCAGGTGTGGAGACTTGTTGTAGTGGATATTACCAGGTATGTAGACGTGTGGCACTGGATATTACCAGGTGTGGAGACTTGTGGTAGTGGATATTATCAGGTGTGGAGACTTGGGGTACTGGATATTAAAAGGGGTGGAGACTTGTGGTAGTGGATATTACCAGGTGTGGAGACTTGTGGTAGTGGATATTACCAGGTGTGGAGACTTGTGGTAGTGGATATTACCAGGTGTGGTGACTTGTGGTAGTGGATATTACCAGGTGTGGAGACTTGTAGTAGTGGATATTACCAGGTGTGGAGACTTGTGGTAGTGGATATTACCAGGTGTGGAGACTTGAGGTAGTGGATATTACCAGGTGTGGAGACTTGTGGTAGTGGATATTACCAGGTGTGGAGACTTGAGGTAGTGGACATTACAAGGTGTGGAGACTTGTGGTAGTGGATATTACCAGGTGTGGGGACTTGTGGTAGTGGATATTACCAGGTGTGGAAACTTATGGTACTGGATATTACAAGGTGTGGAGATTTGTGGTACTGGATATTACTAGAAGTGGAGACTTGTGGTGCTGGATATTACCAAGTGTGGAGACTTCTGGTACTGGATATTACCAGGTGTGGAGACTTGTGGTACTGGATATTACCAGGTGTGGGGACTTGTGGTAGTGGATATTACCAGGTATGTAGACGTGTGGCACTGGATATTACTAGGTGTGGAGATTTGTGGTACTGGATATTACCAGGTGTGGAGACTTGTTGTAGTGGATATTACCAGGTATGTAGACGTGTGGCACTGGATATTACCAGGTGTAGAGACTTGTGGTAGTGGATATTATCAGGTGTGGAGACTTGGGGTACTGGATATTACCAGGTGTGGAGACTTGTGGTAGTGGATATTACAAGGTGTGGAGACTTGTGGTAGTGGAAATTACCAGGTGTGGAGACTTGTGGTAGTGGATATTACCAGGTGTGGAGACTTGTGGTAGTGGATATTACCAGGTGTGGAGACTTGTGGTACTGGATATTACCAGGTGTGGAGATTTGTGGTAGTGGATATTACCAGGTGTGGATACTTGTGGTAGTGGATATTACCAGGTGTCGAGACTTGTGGTAGTGGATATTACCAGGAGTGGAGACTTGTGGTAGTGGATATTACCAGGTGTGGAGACTTATGGTAGTGGATATTATCAGGTGTGGAGACTTGGGGTACTGGATATTACCAGGTGTGGAGACTTGTGGTAGTGGATATTACCAGGTGTGGAGACTTGTGGTAGAGGAAATTACCAGGTGTGGAGACTTGTGGTAGTGGATATTACCAGGTGTGGAGACTTGTGGTAGTGGATATTACCAGGTGTGGAGACTTGTGGTACTGGATATTACCAGGCGTGGAGACTTGTGGTAGTGGATATTACCAGGTGTGGAGACTTGTGGTAGTGGATATTACCAGGTGTGGAGACTTGTGGTACTGGATATTACCAGGTGTGGAGACTTGTGGTAGTGGATATTACCAGGTGTGGAGACTTGTGGTACTGGATATTACCAGGTGTGGAGACTTGTGGTAGTGGATATTACCAGGTGTGGAGACTTGCGTACTGGATATTACTAGAAGTGGAGACTTGTGGGACTGGATATTACCAGGTGTGGGGACTTGTGGTAGTGGATATTACCAGGTATGCAGACGTGTGGCACTGGATATTAATAGGTGTGGAGACTTGTGGTACTGGATATTACCAGGTGTGGAGACTTGTTGTAGTGGATATTACCAGGTATGTAGACGTGTGGCACTATATATTACCAGGTGTGGAGACTTGTGGTAGTGGATATTATAAGGTGTGGAGACTTGTGGTACTGGATATTACCAGGCGTGGAGACTTGTGGTAGTGGATATTACCAGGTGTAGAGACTTGTGGTAGTGGATATTGCCAGGTGTGGAGACTTGTGATAGTGGATATTACCAGGTGTGGAGACTTGTGGTAGTGGATATTACCAGGTGTGGAAACTTGTGGTAGTGGATATTATCAGGTGTGGAGACTTGTAGTAGTGGATATTACCAGGTGTGGAGACTTGTGGTAGTGGATATTACCAGGTGTAAAGACTTGAGGTAGTGGATATTACCAGGTGTGGAGACTTGTGGTACTGGATATTACCAGGTGTGGAGACTTGTGGTAGTGGATATTACCAGGTGTGGAGACTTGTGGTAGTGGATATTACCAGGTGTGGAAACTTATGGTACTGGATATTACAAGGTGTGGAGACTTGTGGTACTGGATATTACTAGAAGTGGAGACTTGTGGTACTGGATATTACCAGGTGCGGAGACTTCTGGTACTGGATATTACCAGGTGTGGAGACTTGTGGTACTGGATATTACCAAGTGTGGGGACTTGTGGTAGTGGATATTACCAGGTATGTAGATGTGTGGCACTGGATATTACTAGGTGTGGAGAATTGTGGTACTGGATATTACCAGGTGTGGAGATTGTTGTAGTGGATATTACCAGGTATGTAGACGTGTGGCACTGGATATTACCAGGTGTGGAGACTGATGGTAGTGGATATTATCAGGTGTGGAGACTTGGGGTACTGGATATTACCAGGTGTGGAGACTTGTGGTAGTGGATATTACCAGGTGTGGAGACTTGTGGTAGAGGAAATTACTAGGTGTGGAGACTTGTGGTAGTGGATATTACCAGGTGTGGAGACTTATGATACTGGATATTACCAGGTGTGGAGACCTGTGGTAGTGGATATTACCAGGTATTTAGACGTGTGGCACTGGATATTACTAGGTGTGGAGACTTGTGGTACTGGATATTACCATGTGTGGAGACTTGTTGTAGTGGATATTACCAGGTATGTAGACGTGTGGCACTGGATATTACCAGGTGTGGAGATTTGTGGTAGTGGATATTATCAGGTGTGGAGACTTGTGGTAGTGGATATTACCAGGTGTGGAGACTTGTAATAGTGGATATTACCAGGTGTGGAGACTTGTGTCAGTGGATATTACCAGGTATTTAGACGTGTGGCACTGGATATTACTAGGTGTGGAGACTTGTGGTACTGGATATTACCAGGTGTGGAGACTTGTTGTAGTGGATATTACCAGGTATGTAGACGTGTGGCACTGGATATTACCAGGTGTGGAGATTTGTAGTAGTGGATATTATCAGGTGTGGAGACTTGTGGTACTGGATATTACCAGGTGTGGAGACTTGTGGTAGTGGATATTACCAGGTGTGGAGACTTGTGGCAGTGGATATTACCGGGTCTAGAGACTTTTGATAGTGGACATTACCAGGTGTGGAGACTTGTGGTAGTGGATATTACCAGGTGTGGAGACTTGTGGCAGTGGATATTACCGTGTCTAGAGACTTTTGATAGTGGACATTACCAGGTGTGGAGACGTGTGGTAGTGGATATTACCAGGTGTGGAGACTTGTGGCAGTGGATATTACCGGGTCTAGAGACTTTTGATAGTGGACATTACCAGGTGTGGAGACTTGTGGTAGTGGATATTACCAGGTGTGGAGACTTGTGGCAGTGGATATTACAGGGTCTAGAGACTTTTGATACTGGACATTACCAGGTGTGGAGACGTGTGGTAGTGGATATTACCAGGTGTGGAGACTTGTGGTAGTGGATATTACCAGGTGTGGAGACTTGTGGCAG